TTTTTTTTTCAGTAATTAGGGAAAACTGACCGGTATTCTACTTAAATTTCTACACGAAGTATATACGAATTTACTACTGCATTATTGCACTAGTAGTGACACTAATAGTACTTTTTAGTCATATTTACGTCTTCCTGACGTAATAAATAACGTCAATAAGATGTGACATAATCACGTGATATATACGTCAGAATAACGTTACTTTTATGTCATAATTGACGTTATTTGTACCAAAAATTCACGTCATTATCACGTGACCTTGTTAGCTGGGAAGTTGTTTCCGTTGTCACTCAATGAATAGAATGTCATCTACAATCGACGCATAAGACAACTTAAAGATATGTTTAAAAGTTGCTTAAAAAATATTTTAATGTAATATCATAAAGAAAGGAGAATACTCAGAAAAAGGCCTTAAAGTTATATTATGTATCGATTTTATCTACTTATTTGGCGATCTTTAAAAATCAATATGCCGTTATATCTATTACGAAAATTGCAAAATGTTTATTTAGTTTTTATCTGCTCAGGAACGCGCGTTGTAGAGAGAATTATTTAACAGCCTGTGTACCTATATGTATATGTCTACTACACGCACACGCACACGCACACGCACACGCACACACACACACACACACACACACACACACACACACACACACATATATATGTTAAAATATTTTAGATTACCCTCAGTTTTGTAAGGAGATGTTCAACGCAGATATATCCAGTATAAAAAGTAAGTAATTTTTGCATTACTTGTGTATCATGTAACAATCATATTATCTTATAGTATGAAATATATTGCTATACGGTGTTGCAGAGAGCCTAGAGCAACTGTTACGATTACAAGCAACATGGAATTTAGATATTAAAGACATAAAACAACGACTAATTAAACTGGAAAATAGTATAAAAAACCGTGCATTAAATCCATTGGATAATGACGATAGTTTGATTGTTGAATTGTTACCATTGGTCACAATAAATAACATTAAAGAATTTGATTCGATGTTAAAAACTTCAAATGAAGCAGTGACACAGTTTGTAAGTTCATTATTTCTTATTGCATTCTATTAAAATGTCCATAGAACTTATGGATGCAATTATATTATTAGAATTTAAAAAATAGGAATGTTTGTTTATGATTCTATCCATTGTGTGCATAAATATTATTTGAATTCTCACTTATTAAACTATATTTATTTCATAATTTTTAAATATTCTTTCCATATTCTTTTTGACTTTGTCATTATTAGACAAAATTGAAATTACATTTTTTTATAGAAACGATTTATATCAAAAATCGGAGGAAACAATCTTATATAGGGATAATATCCATCGTACTCTGAAAAAGATTTTTACCGATAAATGTGCCATACATTGCTCTTGGAAAGGTGCACGGAACCATTTTCGGTTAGATAATTTACAGCTTGTAATAATTATAAAGAGTATGTAAACAAATATTGCTAAATCATAAATTAAAAATATATCGAATATTTTTATTAACTAGAATACAACAAGCGCGCGCTACGCGCGCGCTACTGAGCTTTTCATTTTTCAATATATACTCTTTTGTTTAGTCCTTGTTTAGTCTTAGTTTAATTAAATTTCATTATATTTCATTAAATTTCAATTTGATATATGTATAAAAAAGAAAAGGAATTATATATATATTTCTTTATATACATAATTTTTAATTTGTTTATTTTCCCGTTGACTACCAAGATAAATTTTTAATGCTTGCCAAGAACGTACTCGTGAAAAACCAACATAAAGTTGTCCATGGTTAAAAACATCTTTGCGAAGATCTATTCCTATTTTGTCAAATGTCTGACCTTGTGATTTATTAATAGTCATAGCAAAAGCTAATTTTATTGGAAATTGTCTTCTTTTAAAAGTGAAAGGGTATACATTTTCGCAATATAATGTTATACGGTTTAAAAATACAATATCTCCTACTTTATCACCAGTTAAAATTTTGCATTTTAGTAAATGATCAGCTAGCTCTATAATTATTAATCTGGTGCCATTGCAAAGACCTTCATTGATACTTAGATTTCGTATCAACATAACGATACAATTTGGTTTTAAACGTAATTTATAAGGAGGAAGAGATGATGGAGATAAACTATTTAAATATTCTGGTAGTATGACTTCATTAATCTCATCGTTATCACTGCAATTTTCAGTACTATCTATACTTGTATAAATTCGTTCTTCTAATGTATCTAGCAATTCGACAACTTGTATATTAATTTCATCTACATCTTTATTTCTTGCAGAAAGTATTGCACACTTCGCCATTTTATTGAATTCTTTATTTCGTATTAATTCATCATATATATCTTCTGCAATATTAGCATTTATGGATGCAATACAATTATCTGGAAGATGTACATTATCGTTAGAATCATTTAATACGCCGTCTCCCATATTTAATAGGAACTTTGCAAATTCATTTTCTTCTGGAAGAACTCTCATATTTTTTGATAAAGAGAAACTTGTAAAGTATTTCCAAACATAACTAAACTTGATGGAAAGATTAACGATTTCACTTCGAGTACCATGTAATTTAATAGGAAGAAGTTGTCTGAAATCACCACCTAATATGATAATTTTTCCACCAAAAGGTAAATTATTATTCATAATGTCACGTAACGTTCGACCTATAATTTCTAGAGCATATCGTGGTGCCATTGGCGCTTCATCCCAAATAAAAATATCTGTTTCTCTCAAATATTGAGCTTCTTTTGATTGAATTTTAATGCTAGATGATGAATCAGCAAATAATGAAACTGGTAAGCCAAAAGTTTTATGAACCGTTTTTCCTGCTGGTAATAATGTTGCTGCGGTACCTGTAAAAGCCATTGTACATACACGTTTATTTTGAATTTTGGCTAAATAATAGATAGTTGTATATGTAAATGTTTTACCAGAACCACCAGGACCATCAATATAAAAGCAATTACTGTTATGATTAATATTATCTAATCTATTTAATATAAGATCTACTATTACTTTCTGTTTGTTATTTAACTGTTTATATTGTTTCGTACCAATTTCCATAGCATCTTCAAGCGTTATATAATTTTCCTCCTCATAATTTCCTATCAATTGTTCCATTTGTGGAAAATCAGTGAAACTTTTACCTTCAGCAATAAGCATAGTACCAATTTGTGCATAAGCTTTTTGTTGGCCTTGTAATATTCCAAAGTGTCGTGAATAATCTTCTGACATTGCGACTTTAAAATTTTCCCAAAGTTCTTCAGGATGCAGTGGTTGACAATGTAATAATATACGTACAAATAATCTACGAAGTTGTCTAGGCATCATCCATTCAGCAGCTTCATTCATTGCTCGTCTCCATTCATCATCATTTTCAATCAAACCTAAAGCTAAACATGCTGCTGAAAATGATTGATATACTTCTCCATTTACAGTTCTTAAATCATTAAAACTTGTAGCTCCTTTTACAGTAAGTAATAATAATCGTAAATGAAATAATTCTGTTTGTGTTGGACTAACAGAATACATTCATCCTATACAATTATAATGATTTTTGCGTTTAACCCAACGTGATAAATTTCTTCCATTACTTTTCTCTTTCTTAAACGTATAATAATGTGGAATTTCTACATATAAATATTGTCGTGCTTCTTCATCGCGAGAATTTAATGAAAAATAATCAATTAGCATCGTAACTTGATTTAAAGCAGAAGTCATTGCTTCTTCAATTATTTCATTTTCAATTATAATATTTTGTTCGTTAGGAAGATGTACAGGCAAACGTATAATAGCATAACTTTTATCTTGTAGCTTCTTTTCAAGAATACGCCAAGTAGCTTCTACAGGTCCAACATAACGAGTTTCTATAAAATCACGTATCTCATTATGATCAATGATTACATTTTCTGTTATTGGCTCAATTGTTATAGCAGCAATATCGTGTCCTTTGTAAATATATTTATACAAATATTTAACCGATTTAATACTTGAAACTACTTCAACATTTATGTGACAATTAAAAATAATGGATAAAATAGAACAATATGGAACTACGTAACGATTATCTACTATATATCCACCAGGTCGTTCAAAATTTCTACCATTATTTCGTCGACGATAATAAGGATAAGCATCTTTATCCATTCTGGTTTCTTCAAGATATGATTTAGGATAATGTTTTGAACATTTTCCATCCATTAAACACCAATCACCACAGGGTCCGTGAATCATATGTTTCATAACTATGTTATGTAAGGGACGATTTTCACAAGGATCAGGAATTTCAGCAGAAATATATTTGTCAACAATTTGTGGAGTTGTTATTTTAAAATTATATTTTAAAGTAACTAACATGTGAACATGTGGTAAACCGCGTTTTTGAAATTCAATGACATATACAAAAAGCTGCCACTTCTCCAAAAAATTTTTGCTTAACAGTTAAATCAATTAAATAATCTTTTTTAATATTAAAAACGCGAGCACAAATATCGGGTCTATCAGAAGCTTCCCACTAAACATGAAACCTTCAGGCGACGTTATATTAGAGAAGAATATATCGTACTTAAAACGTTTCTTTATAAACGTTTATGAAATGTTGCATAAAAGTTTTGGTGAAACATTTTATTTCTAACATCTATAGAACATCGCAAAAACATTACATTTTGGTAATTAAAACTGATATTTGGAATGTTTCAAATGAAATGTTGCACGACATTCGAGCAACGTCTAGTTTATAACGTTATATATTAAACGTTTTGCAATGTTTACCGAACATTTCATTTATAACGTGTCATTAGTAACATTTTAAAATATTAGTATAACGTTATGTATGAGACGTTTATATAATATTTATATCATAACGTGACATAAACTTTTCATGTAAAAAGTTTATTTTAAGACATTAAGAAACGTATCTATAACATTGAATATCTGATATTACTGAAACCTTCATTGCACAACGTCGTATAAATGTTGCAAATGTATAATATGCTGAACAGAACATGCGCATGCGCAAAGCGCTGACTATAATGGCAGCACGAGCAACGTGAAGGGATAAATAGCAGCCTAAGGTTGAACGCGATCCCTCCACGTGTCCTTAATAATTACTTCTACACATCTATACAGATGAAGTGTTAGAAAAAAATATGGATTTAAATGGAAATAATAATGCGAGTGATTCCTGCACTGTTCACCGAACGTAAGTATCAATTAATTTATGGTTTTTAAGGTTATGTCAATCCGACAAGTGAAGCTAAATTTAT